ACCTAGTAAACGAGCCTGCAACTGCTACCTTTATTCTTGTTATTCTTTTACTAGTAGAAATCTGCAACTAATTACAATATTTCTGAGGAAACCCCTATGCTGACCTTCTTATAAATGCTTAAATATAAATTTTTAAGTACATTTCGATAATTAATTATCAAAATAATATTTTTGTTACTCCACATCGAAAATCAGCTATTTCCAAGAAATCCTAAAAAAAATGTCTGTGTGCCCTGACGGTACTTATAAGTCCACTTGTAAACATCGATCTATTACAAAGACAATTTGATACAAATTGTATAACTAGAAATTAAACGCATTTGCCTGACTATTGAAGATGCCAATAAAAAATATTCGGTGTTGAAAACGTGAAGAATAAGGTAAAACAAAAGGAAATCAGGAACACATGTGAGATATGTACAGAACAATTGTGAACTACCGATACAAGTAGAGATTGAAAATGGCGCCACTACAGTAATTTTCAAAAATCATCGTTCCCTCCACCTACCTGTGACTCAAGGGAGATAATACTATCAATTACATCAATAATTTTTAAAATTCCTCTTAAATTAAAAATAATACAGGTGCTTTATTAAAGTGGTACTTATAAGTACCGTTAGTAAAATAGGCCTTTTGTATAAGCGGGCATTTTGCCTATTTCATCTTTTGGATTTCGGCCGTTTTTAATCAATCTTTAAATCGCAGTATTTCTTACTTTGTTGTACAGTAAACTTATTTCTCTCTCGTAAAATGTTTTACAAAAGATTGCTGAATTATTCATCGACAGTATTAACCTAGTTAACAGTGTGTTAAAGAATGTCGCTGTCTAGTTGTAGTCTTCTACATTTTAAGGTACACGTTTTTATACGCATACGCATACGCATACGCATACGCATATGCATACGCATACATGTGGAAACATTTTTTTTTAAAAACCCCGTGGACTAACAAGGGCCACGAGGTTCCCAGCCTTTAAATGAGAGATATTATTAAATGTTATATAAATATTATTTAAAGACAAAAACAAATCTAGTTAATACTATCTGCATCCTTATTACTACACGAGATAAATGGCCCTTTGAGGAAGGATACAACGGGCGCTCGGTTGCCAGTGTTGTCTCTTTTCTTTCAACAAAAAACAACCGCAAAAACATTACCTCAAATGAAACCGGAAACGCAAAATGACAACGGATTTTTATCAATAATCAATCTTCACGTAGTTATTGCGCATTTATACTAAATATAGTCGTAGCCATACCCCTAAACCATACGCCTAATCTTAATAAATGATAAAAGTTGAATTTATAGTTACTTTCAGGCAACTCTACTTGGGAGGAGGAAGCTCCGCACGCCCCTACTCACAACCCAAAGCACGTCTACCTTCCCATTCAACGAAATATAACTATATACATTTTCAAGTGCCCACCCCTTCCCAGATAATTCAACCCCTGCCCTCAAAAATTTCAAGTACACCCCCTTCTTCCGGGATCAAAAGCCTGAAAGAAACACTGGTTTTGTATGTAGATCATACAAACTAAAGGTAGAGCCTTGAAGGGGCTTCATCCCTACCGGAAGAGATACATGATAGGAAATTCACGCAAAACACTTTTTAGATTAGAAAATTTCAAGTTCCCCCTTCCGGGGAGGAACAAGTCTGAAAGAAACACTGATGTTGCGCTTAGCCACTGCCCGAAGAATTGCATGAAAGAAACTCTACACGCAAAAAGCTTATAAGGTTAGAAATATTAATTATGCCGTAATGTCAGTCTTTTTATTATAGAGGATAGATGACATCATTTCTTTTGCGTTGGAGTTGGGGGGGGGGGAGGTGGCGACTTAAACGTTCTTGTGCGGGGTGGGCTTAACCGAAAAATTGTATGAAAGAAATTCTGCACGCAAACCACTTCTAAGATATTGTAAGGGTGTTGTATCTCATCCTTCTAGATGTTGTTCACCGTAAACTGAATTTATTGTTCTTTTTTAACTTTCTCGTTTTCGTTGTAATCGTGCAGAGTACATGAAATTGAAATTGAAATGTTCATACATCTCGAATTGCATACATATTGAGTTTGGAAAAAAACCGTATTTTATTGCAATTTAGTCTGTGTGTTTGTGTGTCTGTAAACACAATAACGTTGCTGTTTCAGCTACGTTGACAAATTTTCACAAATAGGTACAATATGAAATTTGAATATGTATGTCTAAAATCTAATAGCTTGGTTGTTCTAGTTAGGTAGACAAAATTTAACAAATAAATGAAATATTTTTTGTTTTAGTTATAAAATTATTGTTATAGAAAATAACACTTAACGCTACTCCAGATTTCTCCAAAAATGCATTAGGAATTTAAAAATTATATAGAGCCTGCTATGAGCGGAAACCTACGAACACTAGTGTGGACACTATTAGTGGATCGATTAACTTTTCAAGCAGGCCAAAGCAAGAAACATAAGTATAGTGACAAAATGGTTCATAATTAGCTGATTAATTTACCTTTTATAATATCATTTAAGATTTTCATTATTCAGTACTAATTTTCCTATATATTTTATTCACAGATTGTTTACTGTTCATTTTGAGCTCCATTTTTTTTTTCTAAACGATTCTGTTCTATTGAAAATGTCTATTGAATGTCTATAGGATGACTACACGGGAGTTGCAACCGTAGCTTCATGTGTGACTCACATGACAACAGCTTCATGTTTTTTCTTATGCAAATCCGAATAGAATTGTAAATAAGGTCTGAGTAGATCGGAAAACCCAACACTTAACATAAATATCTATAGATAAAAAGTAGTTTGCATAAAATGAATTTCGTATAGAATTAATAGGGTCGGATGGGGGTGAAACATTAAACAACATCCTTTGTGCTGATGTCAGTAACAATTAGAATATGCTAAACAAGGCTTACAATGCTATACGTTAACAATAGGAGGTAGACGATATGATAATCTTTAGACTGAAGGTGGGTTAGTTAGAAAATCGATAATTCGTAAAGTCAGTTTTGTATAATGTTGTGTATTTTGTTAGGTAGTTCAGGAATAAACTAGATGTGATATCTTGTTGTTGTATATGCAAAACGGTGTTTAGTGTGCGCGTGTAATGAGGAACGGGTATAGTTTTGGAAATGCTTGATACTTAGTAAATGTGTCGCGAAAAGACTGGGGTGTTATATTTTGTGTTTGTTCTTGGTTGGACAAAGGCTATGGAAGCAAATCCAAAAAGAAAAGCCGGCTGAAATCGGAGTCAATGGCCTCAATGGCGCATAACCAGTTGACACGTAACGCTTAATTGTGTTGGAGGCGTGGTCGAGTCGGTAAAAAGCTCAGGGTTGATAAATTCGAACAAAGTCTCGAGTTCAAACCCACTGGCAGATAAATCTCGACCCCCTCCAACGCTAATAATTAAGAACGAAGAAGAAGAAGAGATATTTTGTGTGCAAGATGAATACATTTTTTGACGTATGTTTTGTTGCATGCAGTGTTAACGAGGTATAGAGTACTGACGAACCGAAGTAAAAAGTAAATTTCATGATATATAATGTATTTATTTATTTATTTTTACGTATATAGTCAGGTATTAAAATGTATACGTTAATGATTTGTTTTTAGTACGTATCAGATGTGTGATACATAACAGCAAATTAGCCGTGTCAACTTTATTCCAACAAACTGCTTAAACAAGTCACTTCATTGAAAGATTTTTTGAATATGTCCGAGACCCATGAGCTTCAGTCAAGTTGCTTTCCGAACTTATGTCTATTGCTAATACGGATCTCCACAAACAATAACCTAATTGTAGCGGTCACCAAAACGCCCATGTAAAACGTGATATACACAATAACTCTGGCCTTGTCTTGTTTATGGTCATGTTTATGATAATTCAAATCGATTATTTGTTTTTAATTTGAATTTTAACTGAGTAATAATGTTAATCGTTATGAAAAACATATAGTTTAAATACTATATTTTTTTTTTTAAATCTAGCTTGAAAGAAATAAACCGGGATTGATCTCACCTAAACTTTCTCGAATATTCTAATATAACATTACGTGGGATGTCAACTCGGAATATAGACATGATTTTTGTTTGCTTAAACTTTTAAAAATAGAAAAAAATCTAGTGGAAAAAAAATTGCGCACCAAGCGAGCACCAAAACCAAATGTGCGTAATAGTGCGCAATATTATTAGTACTTTATAAATTTACATGCGTTTTTTGAGAAATCGGAAATAGCGTAAATTAGTACTTCCGGTCAACGGAAATTACTCAACATTTGACAGAAGGTAGAGAATTAGATCTTTTACTTGCATGTGAAATTTCATTTATCTATCTTAATTAGTACTCAAGTTATAGGCTTTTGAAAAATTCAAAGTAGAAAAAGTACCACTTCCGGTTATCGGAAATCGCTCAAAAGTTGATACGGATCTACGATTTTGATATAATACTTATATATGAAACTTCATCAACCTAGCTGTAACGGTACTCAAGTTACCGTGTTTACACAAGGACACACACACGGACAGAATTGGATAATCCAGTTTTTCCAACTCCATTACGCATAAAACGCCAAAATATTATATATCTGTGTTTATAATTTTTGCCCGATTAAAATAAGTCTTCTATATCCCGGATGTGATGAAGGACCGAGGAGTAAAACGGTGAAAACTGTCCAAATTTAATGAGATTTTTGTGCACGATTACAAGACTTTCTCTATACTTCGTATATACGAGAAAGTAAAAAGGCTTTCTTTTTTTGCCGTCATTGTTTGAGCATCAAATACTCACAGTTCAAAAGCTAGAAACTAAAACGTACAACTTATGAAGCAGCTTGTGTCAGTTCAAGCTTCCACTTAATCTATTGCAACAAATTTAGAGCCAATGTAATTTTATTTAATTTAACATCCTACCTGAACATTTACACACAAACTCTCACAGCTATGTAACATATGGTACCAATAAAAGGTCGTGGTCTAGTCACATGATATAACTTATTACATTTATTCTGCTTACCACTATAAATTTAGCTAACAAAACCACGTCGAGAACCGATGCATTGCTGTAGCTTGTGTTTTTAAAGTTTTTCAAGGTAGGAAATCATCAGTGTTACTGCCACATTATTTAGTATCGATCCTAAAGTTTTTTTTTCAGTATTTTAAATATATCTATCTATCTATCTATCTATCTATCTATCTATCTATCTATCTATCTATCTATCTATCTATCTATCTATCTATCTATCTATCTATCTATCTATCTATCTATCTATCTATCTATCTATCTATCTATCTATCTATCTATCTATCTATCTATCTATCTATCTATCTATCTATCTATCTATCTATCTATCTATCTATCTATCTATCTATCTATCTATCTATCTATCTATCTATCTATCTATCTATCTATCTATCTATCTATCTATCTATCTATCTATCTATCTATCTATCTATCTATCTATCTATCTATCTATCTATCTATCTATCTATCTATCTATCTATCTATCTATCTATCTATCTATCTATCTATCTATCTATCTATCTATCTATCTATCTATCTATCTATCTATCTATCTATCTATCTATATATATATATATATATATATATATATATATATATATATATATATATAACCATGCAGAAGAATAACACACAGACGCAAATACTTTATTTTCTTAAACAGTTGCACTAGTTGAATCACGTGTGTGTAATTTATTATTTTTTTTTAGTTCCTTTACACTAATCTAAATATTAAATAATTTGTCAATTTGTGAAAAGACTAGATTGCTGCTCTTTATACCTAGTTCTTAAGTTAGCCTGTTAAATCAAGATTAAACGTTCTAAATACGCTACATTTTGTAATAACATTGATATTTTTAAGCAACGATTTTCACTAAAACACATGAAAAGAAAAGTAAATACATCAAAATATAATTACCATTTTGACCGACAGGTTTTAAACACCAACAACATGACTCCGTTTTGGATGTTCGTTGTCATACCAGCGATGGCCTTCGCTGACTACTTTACTGATGCCGACACAAATGCCGATGGCAAGCTGGCTTACAAAGAGCTAGTAAACTATGCTAAGGTTTAAAAATAAATTTATTGTTACTTCATTACATTTAACCAAAAATATATAAATATTTTATTTTCGCGGCTAGATAGTGTGTCAAGGAAATATTTAGCTTGAGTTGATTTAGAAAAAAATAACAACCACTGGTCTAAACATACAAATTTTAAAAGTATTAGTTCTTTTTGCTCTAGTGTTTATAAGGTGGCCGGAAAGAACCGCAACGGAAAAAAGCGCAACGGAAAAAAACGCAAAACAAAAAGCGCAACGGAAATAAGCGCACACGGAAAAAAGCGCAAAGAGAAAAAAGCGCACACGGAAAAAAGCGCAAAGAGAAAAAAGCGCAAACAGAAAAAAAGCGCAAACAGAAAAAAGCGCACACAGAAAAAAGCGCAAACAGAAAAAAGCGCACACGGAAAAAAGCGCAAAGAGAAAAAAGCGCACGCGGAAAAAAGCGCAAAGAGAAAAAAGCGCAACGAGAAAAAAGCGCAAAAAGAAAAAAAGCGCACACAGAAAAAAGCGCAAAGAGAAAAAAGCGCAAACGGAAAAAAGCGCAAACAGAAAAAAGCGCAAACGGAAAAAAGCGCAAACAGAAAAAAGCGCACACAGAAAAAAGGTAGGTAGGCAGGTGGGCAGGCAGGTTGGTAGGCAGGTAAGTAGGTAGGTAGGCAGGTAGGTAGGTAGGCAGGCAAGCAGGCAGGCAGACAGGTAGGTAGTCAGGAAGTCAGGGAGGGAGGGAGGTGTTGGGAGGGAGGGAGGTAGGTAGGTAGGTTGGTAGGTAGGTGGGTAGGTGCGTCATAATGAAATAATGGTAAATAAATCGTTGTTATGATGTGTGTTTTGGTGCGAATGAATGTTGTTGCGAGAAATATGACGAATTCATGTTAGATGACGCGGATGAAAGAGAGTGAAGTTTTGCCATAGGAACGGGTAGTTATGGTTTGCAAGCTAGGTAGTTCGGACTAGGGAGAATGTGAGAGATACTTCGTGTAATGTCGATATCAAACACGACACTCTTACAGCAGCCATAACAGTCATGTATAAATGTGTCATCTAGTCGATATAGGTATTTGTGCTAAATTTCTCTTTTGCACATTTTTCGTTGTTTTTTCTGTTTGCGCATTTTTCTGTGTGCGCTTTTTTCTGTTTGCGCTTTTTTCCGTTTGCGCTTTTTTCTGTTTGCGCTTTTTTGTGTGCGCTTTTTTCTGTTTGCGCTTTTTTCCGTTTGCGCTTTTTTCTGTTTGCGCTTTTTTCTGTTTGCGCTTTTTTCCGTTTGCGCTTTTTTCTGTGTGCGCTTTTTTCTGTTTGCGCTTTTTTCCGTTTGCGCTTTTTTCTGTTTGCGCTTTTTTCCGTTTGCGCTTTTTTCTCTTTGCGCTTTTTTCTGTGTGCGCTTTTTTCTTTTTGCGCTTTTTTCTCGTTGCGCTTTTTTCTCTTTGCGCTTTTTTCCGTGTGCGTTTTTTTCTCTTTGCGCATTTTTCCGTGTGCGCTTTTTTCTGTTTGCGCTTTTTTCTGTGTGCGCTTTTTTCTTTTTGCGCTTTTTTCTGTTTGCGCTTTTTTCTCTTTGCGCTTTTTTCCGTGTGCGCTTTTTTCTCTTTGCGCTTTTTTCCGTGTGCGCTTATTTCCGTTGCGCTTTTTGTTTTGCGCTTTTTTCCGTTGCGCTTTTTTCCGTTGCGGTTTTTTCTGGGAACCGTTTATAAAGAGTACCCATTTATTTCTAGGAACGTATAAAATAATATTATTTGACAGAAAAGTTTCGTATGTTTTAGAAATATGTATGTTTAATAATTTCTTTATGTCTTTTTGTTAATGTATGTAAAAGGTTTTAAGCTTTCTATAACTACCTCAATACTAGTAAAAAGACAATGTGATCCAAGTATTTCATGGCATGTGTTGTTTACTTTTACGTTTTCACAATTTAAAGAGATTGTATATTTTTGCCTTTGCATTGGTCTTTGCATTTGCGTGTGCATTTGTGTTTGCGTTTGTGTTATGTTTGTGTTTTTATATAGTTTTAATTATGGCTAAGGTAAAAGTTAGAGATAGAATTACATTCAATTACTAATTAGGAAATATTTTACTTAAACCCGGGTGAATCCGAGTGTAGCCTATGCACCTAAATAAACACGGAAGTCAGGGTCCTTTACGTTTTTTTTTTCACAGAACCCAGCGCTTTTTATATAATACATTTTGATTCACACTTTCCTTACCTTTCAAACTAAACTTGAAAACTTATTATTTTCATTCTTTTATACAGCCATGGGATGCTAATAAAGACGGCTTTATTAATTTGACCGAGTTCCATAAACTAATCCAAGACGTGCTGCCAGGCTACAGAAACAAAACAGTGGCTTTGTTTAAAATGAGTGACAGCAATAATGACGAGAAACTGGACCAAATCGACAGTTTGTCTCTGATTAAAAAGGCGGATATCAACGGAAATCATTATGCTGAACGTTCTGAGATGGAAGGGTAAAATATGCATAGAGTTGATTATTACGGGTATACAAAATAATGCACATTGAAGTAGATCAATGAAATTTAGGGGCTGGGTGATCGAGGCTGTGACGCTCATAAGGGCGGTAACTTATTTAGGAGAAATAGAATCCAAAATCAAACAACTGCTGTATTGTAATTTTTTTCTTGGTCGACAATTGATATGGAAACAAAATGAAAAGGAAATTCTAAACAGAATCGGACTGAAAGTGTATAAAAAGCTAAACTGGTTGGTACATCATTTGTTGTATATTCCGTTCAACATAAGAGTAACTTTTGAAACTACTTTTTTAAATTTAAATTAACTGTTATATTAAGATTTAGATGAAGTACGGGTAAATTAAGTAAGCCAAAGATGAGACATATTTTTAGAAATCATAATATGGCGCTGTAGTCTGGTATGACCATTGGAAAATCCAAGCACACAGCCTGGGTCTTAGGATGAGAAGAGCCATGCATCGACCCCATCTCAGCACAACTGTTGGATATCATTCCCATACAACGGTCTCTGCCCCAGCAGACAAGCCTCATCTACCCAAATGTTCAAACACCTTTGTTTAATCGTCCGACCAATCTGTCCATACGCATAATGACACACGTCTATTTATTTTCTTTTAAAAGTAAGATATTAAATGCATTAATTGTCACAATAATCTAATATATGCGGAATTTAATATTTCCCCAGATTGAGCACATTTCTCAAAGTGTATGCTGTCTTCTATTAAAGAATGAAGACAGTTTGATTGACATTAGCAATGTCTTAAAAGTTGAAATAAATGAATATACGATAAATTTGCAGTTGCATTTTTAATAAATGAGATATGTGTGGTTTTTTTGGGCACGTGCAAGCGTGTACATCCGTGTAAGTTCTCTACATATATACTAGAGTACCTCACTGCGCATGCTGCAAACTCCCTGGCGCTGCCCATAAGAAATGTATATTATTTTCCACAGAAAATTTCTTGGAAGTATTCTAATCAACTTCCCAAATGTTTTAAGGTGATAAGATGAAAGGTATTAAACCTTGCGCCATGCTTGCGAAATTGAAATAATTGTTTTACAGGTACCTCCACAACAATTTCCCATACTTTTCGGGCGATCAAATGAAGGGTGTAGTAACGCATAAATAAAATTTAGCAGATATACATACATATATATATATATATATATATATATATATATATATATATATATATATATATATATATATATATATATATATATATATATATATATATATACACCTACCCACACCATCACCTACAGTTTAAGTACACACATTCTTTCGTCAACTCTGAATGCAATGCTTACAACTTTTTTGCAATTTGTTTTACTTTATGTTTTAGACTTACGGAAATTTAATTCAGTTAATTTTATAATAAAAACACAAACCTACGTGACTTTTCGCACCCACTTGCATACACCTATCCACACCATCACTATTTTAAGTACAACGTTCCTTAATCAACACTGAGCGTAATGTTTTCTTTTTTTTTACATTTTTCTAATGTCGTAAATCTATAAAAAGCTATATAATATCAGGATCGCGTAAGTTAGGAAGGTTTTCTATATTACATATGATATATGTAACGAAGTATAAAAGTGCCAAATATCTATATCAGACAAGGTTGCAAAATATTTCATCATATAGCTTGTAGACTTCCCCTTGATTGTTCCCTTAGAGAACTTATCTGCCTCACTTCAACATATTACTACGTCATACTCCCTTACTAATGTTTGTATATATATATATGTATATATATATATGTATATATATATATATATATATATATATATATATATATATATATATATATATATATATATATATATATATATATATATATATATATATATATATATATATATATATATATATATATATATATATATATATATATATATATATATATATATAAAGCAATGTATGTTTGTTAGTCTATCTGTCTGTCTGTCCGTCTGTCCTTTATGCATTACTACACCTCTCATCGCATCGCCGTGAAACTTTGGGAAGTTGTTAAGAATATTCCCGGGGAGGTTTCTGCGAAAAAAAATTTCAAATTCTCAGGGGTGGCGCCCCGACAGGGCGCGATTTGTTTTTTTTTTCTCTTTACGGTATATAAAAATAAAAGTCGATTTTGGTTTGGCATCGTTTATCCGATAGCCATGAGACTTTGGATAGTTCATTATACCACTCTAGGTAAGGGTTCTGTAAAAAAAAATTAATTTCGCGAGGGCGGCGCCATGGGAGGGTCCGATTTTTCTCTATATACGGTATATAAAAATAATAAAAGTGAATTGCAGTGACACCGTTCATCAGATAGGCATGAAACTTTGCGGAGTTCATTATAAAACTCTAGGGAAGGGTTCTGTAAAAAAAAATTTAATATTGCAAGGGCGACGCCACGGGAGGGTGCGATTTTTCTCTATGTACGCTATATAAAAATAAAACTCGATTTTTGCCTAACACCGTTAATCCAATAAGCATGGAACTTTAGTGAGTTCATTAGAACACTCTAATGAAGGGTTCTGAAAAAAGAAATTAATTTAGCAAGGGCGGCGCCAGGGGAGGTTGCGATTTTTCTCTATATACGGTATAAAAAAAATAATAAAAGTGAATTACAGTGACACCGTTCACACGATTGCCATCAAACTTTGGTAATATGTTGAGAATATTCATGTGGACGTTTCTGCTTAAAACACATTTTCCAATTAGCAGGGGTGGCGCTCCGGAAGGGCGCGATTTGTTTTCTCTCAATATATGGTATATAAAAATTAAGAGTCGATTCCAGATTCACACTGTTCACCCAATCGCCGTCAAACTTTAGGGAGTTGATAAGAGCAATTCAGGGAAGGGTTCTGTAAAAAAAACATTTTTAATATCGCAAGGGCGGCGCCACGGGAGGGTGCGATTTTTCTCTATATACGGTTTATAAAAATAAAAGTCTATTTCCGTTTCACACCGTTCATCCGTGTACCATGAAACTTAGGGAGATGATTAGATCACTCAATGGTAGGGTTCTGCAAAAAATATTTTTATTATTGCAAGGACGGTATATAAAAAATAAAACTCGGATGCGATTCATTGGAGTGCCATGAAACTTTAGGGAATAGATGAGAAAACTCCCGAGAATATTTCTGCGAGAAAGAAAAATAAAGTTTCTTATGGGCGGCGCCATATAGTGTACAACTTTCGTCAGTACACGGTTTGGCGCCCAGAGTTTTAGAGCGACTGTGTTGGCACTTGGCATCCGTTAATCGAGCGTCCTGCACAGCGAGTAAGGGGTACTACTATATTCAGCCGTAAAACTACAAAAGGCTTCTAAAAATAACTTTGTAACGCGAGGAAATCCTTCTGTAGAGTTTCGTCACTTTGCGAATGATGCAATAAGCATCTTTTATTAGAAAATCCAGTCAGAAATTGAGATCGATCATCTAATAATAGACCATTAGTAACGCTAGCGTACTGCATCAGTCACACTGATGTTTAAAACACGTCAAATACTTTTTTTCGTGTTAAAGAAAAATCCTGTTCATTTGTGTCACTTTAGCGAATGACGAAATCTGCATCATTATTAACAGGATACTATTTGGCACGATGGCGCCTGTTAGTTTTAAGGAGCCAGCGGTCATACGCCGCGCCTTTGCGGTAGTGTAATCGGGGGGGGGGGGGCTGAGAGCGCCCCTGTACGTCTCTGACACATGGGCGGTCACCGAAGTGTGTTCTAACATATTATTTCGGTGAGTGATTAATGTACACTCATTGTTTACATGCGGTAGTGTAGGTAAACCTGTGTCCCAATATTTATGATTTAAGCGCAGGCATTGTTTACATTTAAATAACTCACTTTTAGAAAAGACGGTCACGCGTCTAAGAACATATGATTGGTAACGCGTTGGTGAAATCTTTCTAATACATTTCGTCAAACCTATCCCCGCGGCAACGCACGGGGGACGGGTACGCTAGTATATATATATATATATATATATATATATATATATATATATATATATATATATATATATATATATATATATATATATATATATATATATATATATATATATATATATATATATATATATATATATATATATATTATGCTAATAAATTAATTAATACCGTGTACAAAGGTTACTTTATTAAACTGCTCTGTTACTAATGATGTCTATATTAGATTGACAATTATAGCTTGACATGTTTTAATTAAAGCTAAATTTGGTCGTGTTGGCCATGCTGATCTAGCAGTTACTGGGGCAAAACAAAATAAAGCGGGAGTTATCTCCTTTAAACTTTCTCTTATAACCATAAATACCAGTGAGCTCAAAAAGAATTCAAGTGCAATCGGGCTATAGAAATATAGTAGTAAAAAAAATCCTCGGTTTTTTTTTTGTGATTTACGCGAGTATGATAATACATTATCAATCATGATGTAAAAGTGTCAAATTTGGAAGAAATCTGAAATATATATTTGAAATTTCGTCTACTAAACTTAAAGGATTCGCATGAAAGAGTCTTTTGATAACCGCAAGTTATGTAAGTACCTGTTCCGCTAGCCGGAAACCTTCTAAAAGTCGAGAAAAAACTACAAAATTGCTGTAATAATAATTATACATGAAATTTCTGAACGGACAGGATTGCAAAACTACGTTTTTAGGGTTCCAAAAGTTTGTAAAAAATCAAAATTTGATAAAATCTACATTTTTTTGAGAGATTGCAATACATCCTTTTTACTCCGTATAGGTTAACATTGGGAAGTGTACAACGGCACAATCAGTCAAAATTTCATTAAATCATTGTGCACAATTACAATACTTACTCAATACTCTGTAGGCCTATACGAGAAAGTAAAAGGGTACTTGCATCACCACCCACTAAGTGGATAATCAGGAGCAGAGTTTCTTCCAGGCATCTCTTCGGGGGGGCCAAGCCCCCCCCCCCCCCCCCGAAGAAAGTTTACCGCCCCCCCGAAGATTTCAAGTGCCCCCCCGGAGAAAAAAGTCTGGAAGAAACACTGATCAGGAGAGTACTCGAATATTTTACATAAGAGGTAAACAATGTTAGCCATTGAACCATGGAACAGAAACGTTTTAAACAAGGCTAAATGCACTAGACAACCCTTTATCCTTGCAAAACTGTGTGTTTCGGGGGACATCCAAAATGACTTAACGTTTGTTTAACGATTTTTATCTTTCCCCTCCCCACTGTCATATAACGTTACAGAAAGCTACAGAAAGCTATAACGTTACAGAGCCCACATTAAAAACACGTCACAACTCAGATAACAATTGCAAACATGTTTTTTTTTTGCTTTTTGAAAACAATTTTAGGCATGGGTTTGGCTACTCTATCCCTTCATATACTGTAGATACTGTATAATAATAAAAGTGAGTAATTATTCATTTGATAACTATCTCATTTTTCAGTGTTATCAATAGAAAAGGATGAGCATCTTTGCTGATTTACAAAAATGGTACACAAAACAAATAAAAACATTTTCAAAATTTTAGAAGTTACCAAATTAAGAACAGATAAATTAAACCATTATTTATTCTCTATAGTGTTTTTTACATTAGGTATAGTAGGTAATCCCAGTGGCGTAGCGAGGTCGGGTGTCACCCGGTGCGGCACTTAATGGTGTCACCCCCCCAGAGGCATAGAGACCCTTCCCAGGGACAAACTTTCAAATTTTCGATTTGCACCCCCCCCTCAAACTTTCGATTTGCACCCCCCCCCCCTCAAACTTTCGATTTGCACCCCCCCCCTCGAGTTTTTCTCTATATATTTTGCT